TAAAAACATAAATCTGACTGACATTTTTATGCAGAGTATCCAGGAGGCTGTACGGAGAAAGGCCCCTCAGGCTACTAGGATTTTTAGGTTTGGGGGACCCAGGTACAGCAGGTGAGGAATTAGAAGTCATCACAGAGAGGCAGTGTCCATGAGAAGCCATTTCTCAGAAACCTGGATGGCAACCAAAGACAGTAGCTCCCCCAAGACTGGGGGGTGGTTGGAAGGTGGGGCAGGAGACTGAAGAAGCAAGAGTCCAGGAAGCACCCGCCTAAAAGGGGCTGCCCAGAACTTAAGAGCCAAATGCCTCCAGCACCAACGAGAAAAGAAGCTTTGACATCAGCCTAGCTCAGTCCTTCCAACTCAGAAGATTAAATGTGGAGTCGAAGATATGGCATTTGCAAAAGATCCTGATATGCTTAATAAATGCTTTCCACCTGTATGTAGCAGAATCTTTTGTTGTGATATTTATTACATCACTGGAGTAATAGAAAATGCCAAGAAGTGCCAGGAGGAGAGAAGAAAGGGGAGCAGGGTGCTGTTTAGGAGACATTTCAGAGAAATAGTATGGGTAGGAGCAGGCACTTTCTGAAACTTTGAAGGGATCAACAAAGAGGATTTTAAGAAGTTTGGTTTTTTGATGTGTGGAATGGTTCTCTTTTTGGTACACTTAAAGGTAATTTTCTACAAAGCTCTGTATTTGTTTTGGGGGTTTTTCGTGACTAATTTGTGTTCCTTTGGACAGGTACCATGCAGAATCCAGACTTAAGGAGTTAGAAGAGTGAATTCATTCGAGACACAAACTCAAACTGAGCAGAGGATCCTATGTTTGGGAAGTAAGACAGGCTTGGGGTGGGGAGGTGTCACTGTTCTCCTGGCCCTGAGGGCACAGCCAGGAATATCTTGAGCTGTTTCTATTTTGTCTCCCCTATCCCGGGTGCAGCAAGCTTTCTTTTTAATTCCTCCTCCACCTCCCCACTGATCGTCTGGGATCTTCCCTTTGTCTGGGATGGAAATATTTGAGTGTACACCAGGTCTTTAAAAGGAAGATTGTCCATATAGGGGCTGGCTGAGGACTGAGCAAGCCTGAGGACACAGGCGGGCATCGTTTCTGTGGAGCTGTTGCCAGGCAACACGCTGGCTACTGACCAGGGAGAACATTCCAGGATGCTAACGTGGCCCCAATGCTGATGATGGGACGCTTTTGTAGATGGGGCCAGGGCATCACCAGATTTCCCCACACTGTAGTACATTTTAATTATTAGTGTGTGCTTAAGTTTGGTGGATGAAATAAAGAGAAAGGGTTCCATTTAGAGGTCAGGATATGGTTTTTAATGGGGTACATTAGGTCTCTACTTTTTAACCCCAATTCTGCCACAACAGATAGGGGCTCAGCATTCTCATACTCCCCTCCCAAATTTAAAGTTGGGGAACTCCCTGGGCATCCCAGTCTGGACCCTTGCTCACAGTGCCCTGCCTTGTGGCTTCACCATCTCGGCCACGGGCAGAGAACAACAAAATCCTAATCCCCAAAGTCTGAGCTAGGTGGTGGTGTCAGTGACTTCCCCAAAGATCATAAATACCCTTTAATCCATTCATTTATTCTTCCATAAACATGTATTAAATACCCCTTATGTGCCATTTAGGGGATACAAGAAAAAAGCCCCAGTGAAGACAAGCTTACAAGACAACAACAACAAAGCAAAGTGCCTTAGGTGCCATGGTAGAAATACCCACAGGGTAGCATGGAACACCAGGAATGTGAGCCTAACCTGGGACTCAGTGTCAGGGACCTAATCCGAATCTTGCTGAGTGAGGTTATAGGAATTCTTCATTCATTGACTGACTCAACAAATATTTACTGACCACCTGCAATGTGCCAGATTCTTATCTGGGCACTGAAGACTCAGTCATAAATGCAGTGGCCAAATTCACCACTCTCTTGGAGCTTATAGTCTCATTATGGGGAGGAGGGTGAGGGAGAGAAGGCAGGGATGCAAAGCAGACAGACTACAAACCAATAAGCAAGCCACTTATTCCACGTGCTTTATTGAGTGTCTAATATGTGCCAGGCTGTGTGTTTGGTGCTGGGGTTGTATAGACAAGTGAGACATAGCCCCTGTCCCTGAAAGGTTCACCCAAAAGGGAAGAGCCTGCAGGAAGTCATAGTGCAAAGGATAGTGCTATGTTTGGGGAAATCAAGCCATTCAGCTGAGCTGGAGCACAGGGCATGGTAATGAAGGGACTCCCTCTTTTAGTCATGAAGCTCATCCCTTCCACAACTTGGGGCAAAGAATCCTTCCTGAAAACTTCCTATGAATTCTCTCAAAGTATTTATTGATGTAGACATTTAGGGACACAATATAGGTATTAGATGTCTATAAAATAACATTATCCATCTGATCATCTCTCCCCAAATTGCTGAACTGAGGATATGCGGATTTGGTATCTGTTGGTAGTTCAGAACAGGCTGGCAACCTGTTTTGTAAATAAAGTTTTGTAGGAACACAGCCATGGCCATTTATTTACATATCATCTATGACGGCTTTTGTGCAGAGGTAATTATGACAAAGACCATGTGGCCTAAAAGTCTATCTGTCCCTGTAAGAGAAAGCTGCCAACCCCTGGTCTAGAAGCTCTGTTTACCTGAAATACAGACCAAGAATAAGCAGTTTCTGACATTCCAAATTCAATTAATACTTTTCTTGCTTCTCTTTCTTTCTTTTTTTCTTTTTTTTTTGAGACAAGATCTCACTCTGTCACTCTGGCTAGGGTGCAGTAGCATCATCATAGCTCACTGCAGCCTCAAACTCCTGGGCTCAAGCGATCCTCCTGCCTTAGCCTCCGGAGTAGCTGGGACTACAGGCATGCCCCACCATGCCTGGCTAATTTTTCTATTTTGGGTAGAGACAGGGTCTCACTTTGTTGCTCAGGCTGGTCTCAAACTCCTGGCCTCAAGGGAACCTCCTTGGGAGGTTCTGGGAACCGCCTTGGCTTCCCAGAATGCTAGGATGACAGGTATGCACCAGCAGCTGGGTCCCTTGTTTCTTTTCTCATTCTTTCTCCTCTCCCCGCCCTCTCCCGTCTCCATTCTTTCCTTCCTTGATTTCTTTCTTACCTAACCTGCATTCCCAGAAGCTGGTGTGAAGGAAAACAAGTGTTGGACCTGAAAATGTAAAAGTGAATCTACAATTAGGCTCTGCCCTCTGAGGTGTGGTAAGAAGATAATTGGTTAATGTTTTCAAAATGCCAGCACATTCTTGAATAAAAGGCCCTGTATAAGTTCAAAGTATTTGTAATTATTATGATTATTACTATAATTTATGAGATTTGCCATAAATCTCTTCATAATAAGATGAGGTCAACACTTTTAAAAAGAGGAAGCAGGACAGGGACTCCATATAAAGCGCTATGGGCTCACTGCTTTTAAGGACAAGAGCTAACTGAAGACAGGTGAGTGTAAAACACATGCGTGGAACTTACACTCGGGCTTATTTAGGGAGAGAAACCAGTGTATGGAGATCAACTGGTAATGATTCTGTCTCTGCTGCTGAGTAAACAAGGAAGGCTGGAGTCAGATGAAACTTAAGGACCTTGCGAGGAAAATCCAAGTTTAAAAAAATGTATAGATGATGGAATGATTTTTTCCTGTTCGTTACAATACTTATCAAAATTTAGATTTCTTTTAATGCTAGTGTGTGGTTACTTTTGAATTTGTGAGCATGTGCAAAACAAAGAATGGGAGAACAGAAATGTGTGTGCATTGAACTGTAGCTGTAATAGGTCGAATGGGTGTCTTTTTTGTTAATTCAAAGCCAAAGAACTTTGTTGGTATTTTGCCAGCTGGTAAATCTCTGGCTCAGTCTTCCAGTGTCATATTAACCCACACATCTTAAGTATGGTTTTACAACAGAGTCTTATTTTCTCTGGAAGCTTTTGAGAGAACTAAGACCAACATGTCTAGCAATCTTGGCTAACAGAATAAAAGGATAGACAAGTTTTGTGAGTCTATGGATGGAACGAGAGGCCAAGGTCTCTTACATTTGATCTTTGTTCAGAATGGGACATTCCTGGGAAAATTCCCAGCACGAGGCGAAGAGCCTTCCTAGGGTTCCCAACTCTGAGAAACTCAAATGCAAAAAGCGAGCAAAGCAGCCCCAGAGGATGCGCTGAGAGAAGGAACTCCCCTCCAGGTCACAGTCTCTCCTGGCAAGGACAAGATTTGTCTGCAGGGAGGGAAGAGAAATGCTCAAACTTTCTGAGCCCTTCCAGGCTGGTAATCATTACTCACAATCCAAATTCAGGAAGTATCTATTTTCACAGACCATATGAAAGTGCAATTCCGCACAAAGTGACAGTTTAAAAAGAGCCATCATGTTACTGTCTTATATTTTTGCTCTAAAAAATTATATTTTTCTAGAGGAAACATAATCCTAGTGGCAGAAGCATTTTATATTTGTAATTGTCATTGCTATTATTATTTTAAGTGAAGGCCTGTCAGTACATAGCAATCTATGAGGTAATGGGCTGGGGTGTCGCCGTGTGTGTGTGTGTGTGTGTGTGTGTGTGTGGAGGGAGGGGAAAGAGGGGACAGCAAGAGGGGTGTGAGGAAGGTGTGATGCCACTGGAAAGGCCTGTCAGCCCACGGTGAGCAGGCAGACCCAGAGACATGTCAGTGACAGAACGAGGGTGAGAACACAGCTCAGGGCAGGAGATCATGCCTGACGCAGATGCGCACAGCAGTTCTCAATTCTCCCAGCATCGGATGGGCGGCCACGAAGAGACAGGGCCACCTTCATCTCACAGCACGTCAGGGTGTTAATACATCTCATTTCTGGGCTGGTTGGAGGGCCCCAAGGACCCGTGGTGCTATTGTTCAAGGTTAAGATAAAAGATTCAAAGCATTCCTGGAAAAGCAACGGGAGTTCTATAGTGAGAGAACTACAAGACCAAAGGCATTTGTTTCTACCTTCTCCAGAAAAATTGTTGAACTGGAAGAAATGGTTCACTGTGCCTTACGAACCTGAGCAAGGCTTTGGGGATTACGAAGTAGTCAGTGGAGAGAGGGTAGGTAGAGGAAAATGTCCTGATCAAAGCCACCAGTGGCCCGTGAGGGATGCTCTGGTCATCAGTTTCCAGTGTGCCTGGCAGGTCTATTGCTCCAGCTTGTGGACACCCCCTTGCTATTTGTTACTGTTTTGCTTTCCAGGAAGAGAGAAGAGGGATGCCACGCAGATATCACGCTTGGCATCGTGACCATTGTGCTGTCTCAGCCTGACATCTTCATAATGTTTTCAAGTGTAGGGAGCCACAGGGGTAACAAATGAGTCAGAGGCAACCGATGGACACTCCTTGAGTACATCCCAGTTATGCCTCAACAATCCCTTCTAAACACAATATTTTTCTGCACCTATAAAGTTGGGCATGGAGTTGGGTTGGTTCAACATGCTGCATTTATAAATGAAGCACATTGTCCATCCATATAAGAAGTCCATTGTCACTTCTTGCTCTTCCCTTAATTAAAAAAAATTACCTTGAAGACTTGGCCTCAGGGGCAACCAGAAAGTAACTCTGTGTTCTTAAGCAAGTGGCACATGTATTTACATAGATTCTTTTCATCGAGGTGCCTTCTCAACACAGATATTTAGTTCCATGCTTGGAAAAGAAGATAGCTCTCATGTTGCAATAAAAGCTAAGTCCTTCCACTTGGGTTTCCAAGAGGAAGTATTTTTCTTTCCTGGAAAAGCAGCAAAAAAGACTGAAATACCCTGGGTTTAACTTGAATGTGAGTGGTATTTTTTTTCTGAAGAGTCCTTCCATAAACCCAGTCAGAATCCTCTGTAAAAATACATTTTCAAGAGACCATGAGCTCCTCCTGTTCCTAAGCAATTCTTTCTCTGTTCTTTCTTCCTGGGATTGACTGGTCTCTCTCATTCAGTGCTGGAGGCTCAGGGGTCCTGAATAAATGATTTCCTGTTGGGTGATTAAATCTGAAAGTTCCTGCAGACCCACCTAAGATTCCAAGGTCCTGTACCTTTCTAATGTTGGGACTGAGCATGACATTTTCTGCTCAACTAAGCAAAATCAGATAGACCATCTCAATGTTATGGGGAAGAAAAACAAAAAGCACGGCCACATCTGAAGGGCAGGTGCCCCCACAGCTTAAGAAGACAGAATTCAAATGCCTCTCCATGTTGAGACATAATCTCTTCCTGGGTGTTTAGAAGAAACCACCCATAAGAATAACCTTAAAACGAGAGAGATGAGAAAAGCATCATGAAAGTGCTAAATACCACATTTACATGCATGCTCCGACATGTAATGAGAATAATAATTCAAAATGACAGGTCTCCAGGCTCAGCTGACCAAGGGTGGTGACAGGAAACACCCTGCAGTGGGAGGGGTTGTGGGAGGTGCCCTGGGGGTAGGGGGGTGGCAACTCTAGCATTCCCTGGGGTCAACTGCAATCTGCTCTGGGGGCATCTGTGTATTGGTTTAGTAGCTAGTGGGAGAACCAGAGTTGTCTGCACTCTTGTAAGGTGATTAAAGAAAGATAGGGATAAAAAAAAGACTGAGCATGTGGGCATGGGCTGGATGGTGGCTGGGTATCCCTTCTTTAGATCCAAGAGCACTTCATGAGTTCAATCCTGGGACCCCCACCCTTGGCCCAGCTTCTTGGGGATTTGTCTTTGCTGCTGGAAGTAGCCTCTGTCCGGTGGGAAATGTCTTCCAACGCCTTCCTCCATCCAAAGCAAAAACCGGTATACATTCCAAGGCACTGAGGAAAGTGTGACCTTTCTTCTAACCTGAAGAAAAAAGACCCCAAATTCAGAAAACTAAATACAAAATGCTCCTTTTTGCATTATCCTTTGAAAATGAAGGCCTAGGCTCTTGGGATAAGGCACATGCATTGAAAACTTGCTTTTCAGAGTCTGGAGTCAGGCCACTTCTTGGTGTTGAGAATCAACGTGTCTTGGCTTCTTGAAATAATTAGTGTCCAGTGACTTGACGGTACGTTGAATCCCTGTGGGTTGAGTAGAAGTCTCGTTCATCATTTTTAAGTTAATTGAAAAGACGGGTGGGGCTCTTGTCCTGCTTTTGCTTTTTTCATTATGATTCAAATCATTTGTTTTCTTAGTTCAGATATGAGGAGGCTTGCTCCTTTCATCCCCCCCTTCCGCAGGAACATTACATACCATTATGATGACAATTGACATTTTCACATCTTCAAGCTAATTTTTATTTTAAAAGCATTTCAGGAGCTGTAGAGCTGGGTCATCGACATGTCTACATTGTGGCTGCTTCTGGGCCTCCTTGCCCTGACTGGTGAGCGTTGTGCATTCTTCTAAGTGACCCTGGAGGTGGGGAGGATAAGCATAGCAACATAATGCTACTTCTGATGCTTGAAACTGCAGCAGAAAACATTATTTTTCTCCTGAGCTTTCCAATAAATCCCTGAGTTAGGAACAGCCACTGACAAGCAGCCTCTCCCCAAATGCCCCACAAAAGGATGGGGTCTCCAGAATGTGGGGTGAGCTTAAAACAGTGTTGCTTGACGTCAGACTTTAGATATACACTATTGACAACTGCCCGTTGTCTACCACAAAAATACTAAAAATATTCATTGAATTTATTTATAATCCATATATTTCTGTAGAAGAATTGAGGTGGTTGCCATAAAAATACTAATGTAATTCAAATAGAAAACCAAACCAGTATCAAGGGAATTAAGGAGATGTGATTAAGTTAACCATTGAGGCTGACATAGTTGCTGTGATTGAACTTCAACTTTGGTCCTAAGGTTCGTTGCATCTGGAGCAAAAGGGAAAAGTGCTTGTTTTTTGATAAATAAAAGCAGGAAACATAGTTCCTCAGGAGAAGCTAAACTTTTCCTGGTTCTAAATTAAAAACATTTCTCAGATGGGGTTTTATATTCATTCATTTATTTATCGATCCATTCATTCAACAAATATTTAAAAATTCCTACAAATGCTAAGCACTTGGAAGATCCTATAATGTGGTAAGGGAGAAGTCCACAAGGCAGGAAGCCATTAGTGATACAACCAACTGCAATATTAAGGGTATTCGTCATCAATCATAATCAGTTGGCTTGTTCAATTTTTGGTTTACTCATAAAAGACCAGGTCTTTTCATTTCCACATTTCTCTCACGTTACTCCTCACAACTTTGTAAAGTAGAAGTATTTACGCCAAAATACTAGTTTCTTCAGATGTCAACCCCATGAAGCTCTGAGGAAGAAAATAAAAACTTAAAATGCATTTATGTAAACATACGGGACACACATGATAATATCCAAGGGACATATTTCTGAAGATCTGCAAATCATTAAGGTTTGATGATGTAATTAACTTTAGTCAAAGAATAAAGTAAATTGAAAAGAGTAATCTATGAGAAATTTTCATGGGCTTACAACAGTGAGATGATTCTCACAAGGACTAAGCTTCTCCTAGAACTCTGAGAGACCAAGGCAGGAGAATCTCTTGAGATCAGGAGTTCAAGACCAGCCTGAGCAAGAGCGAGACCTGTCTCTATTTATGAAATAAAAAACTTAACATTAAAAAAAAATAAAAAAATTAAAAAAGGACTAAGCTCCTGCCCCCTGCAAGTGTCTTGTTACTGGCTCTCATGTGCCTTCCTCCTGGTGTCAAGAGAACGACCTTCTCTTCAGTGGCCTTTGTGAAATCCCAATAGAGTCTAAAACCACTCTTTCCCTTCAGCGACAACTGGGATGACAGAGGCAGGTGGAGGGAGGTGGAGAAGACGAAGAGAGAAAGGGAGGAAGTAAGAGGGAACTGCCATGTCAAGAGCTGGTCCAATGCCTCACCACATGTGTACCCCTCTTGGCAGCCTTAGGTCCCCACCTACAAATGCCCCTGAGAGAAAGGGAAGCCAACCAACCGTATGTCCCAGTTTACAAGCAGCTCCTTTACTTTGGGTCTGGCTTTATATGTGTTTCTCCAGAGCAAACATAAACATCTCCTAAATGAGTTGGGAGTATTTGAGCGAGAAGTGCTGAGAGTTCATGTAAGCTGTAAGATAACAACTACTTTATAGGAAAGAGATAATCTCTGATTTGTTCCAAAACAGCCCAGAGACTTGCGAAGGGTACAATTGCTCCAATAGTTCCTCTCCTCCGCAGGATAGGAGGTGAGAATTTAGTATCAAAGTGGTTTCTGTGATAATTTCTTAGCATAGTGTTAATTTTAAATTTCAAAAGAGTTTCAATTGCAGAGTGAAGTTCATGTTGTTATTGATTTTATTACAGTTATTTTTATTTATGTCATTTCATTCATGGAAGAAGAATGATGAGAATTGTTCTAGTTCAGTGTCTTAGGTTGAACTTTTCTCAACCTACAGACTCATCTGAAAGCAGCGACTGGGGATGCTATGGAAACATCCAAACCTTGGCCACCCCTGGGGCATCTTGTGGGATTGGAAGACCCCGTGGCCTGAATTACTGTGGTAGTTATATCCCCTTACCCACTCCTGCCCTCTCAACATAGCCTGTGGGTTCCCACTGTTTCCCACGGCCCTATGCGACCAAGTGGTGGAAAGAACTTTGAACGTGGAGTTCAAAGCCTTGTCAGAGCCCTGGCTCTGCTTCTTGGGCAAGTCACTCATCTGCCCTGAGCCTCTGTTGAAAGGGGGATAACAGTACAGTATGTACTTTACAGTGTTGTTGTAAACTCTGATCAATATAATGTGGATGAGAGTGCTTTCTAAACAATAAAAATGCTTAGAAGGTAAGGCTAGCCAGGTAAATTAGTATTGGTTTACATTTTTCTCAGTAGTCTTATTATTTCATAAAGGTTTAAATTCACATTTTTTTTTTTTTTAGTGTCATTTAAGATCGAAAAGGTGGGCAATTGTAAACAGACCCATCAAGGGAAACTATCCAAGGACTTACAGGGTTTGGGAGAATTTCTCCTTCAAATCATGTGCCTGTTGGCCGGGCGCGGTGGCTCACGCCTGTAATCCTAGCTCTCTGGGAGGCGGAGGCGGGCGGATTGTTTGAGCTCAGGAGTTCGAAACCAGCCTGAGCAAGAGCGAGACCCCGTCTCTACTAAAAATAGAAAGAAATTAATTGAACAACTAAAAATACATAGAAAAAAAAACTAGCCAGGCATGGTGGCACATGCCTGTAGTCCCAGCTACTGGGGAGGCTGAGGCAGAAGGATCGCTTGAGCCCAGGAGTTTGAGGTTGCTGTGAGCTAGGCTGACGCCATGGCACTCTAGCCCAGGTAACACAGTGAGACTCTGTCTCAAAAAAAAAAAAAAATCATGTGCCTGTTGTAGCCAATAGGCAGGCACGTTTTATTGGGCAACCCTGTCTGGGGTGCTTAGAATGGGACGAATGGTGCCCATGCCCATGGAATTGTCCTGGGTGGGCCAGAGCAGCCTCTGAGAGCCCAGCTGAGGGGCACTGGTGGCCACAGAGGATGCCTGCCTGAGGGGATGCTAATTCAAACTCACAGGAGGAGAGTCCTAATTTCAGGTCAGGGAATGGCCACTAGAGTTTTAAGACCAAAATTTGGGATTCTCAGTCCTAGACCACTACCCAGATCCTTGGAATGCACTTTCTCTCTCTGCTTGAGCTCCTGTTTCAGCATAAGTCATACTGGGCTGCATCCTGCCTTCTCTGTTTGCTTTAGGAGTTCGTGCTTCCGAAAGGCTGGCTGAAATAGACATGCCATACCTACTGAAATATCAACCCGTGATGCGAACCGCTGGCCAAAAGTACTGCATGGATCCTGCCGTGATTGCTGGTGTCTTGTCCAGGGAGTCTCGGGGTGGCAACGTTCTGGTCAACGTGGGCAACATGGGCGACAGGATTGGGGTGGTGCAGGTAACTCTCCATTCTGCTCTGGCCATTCTGCTGTATGGCACAATGCCAAGGAGGCACATTTACTATTTCTTTTTTTGGAGGGGGTAGGGGGAATGATGGCATAGCTCCATTACACGCAGAGTGGATGAAGCTCCCTGGAGTTGTGAGAGTCACAGTTCTGCCTCAGAGATATGAGTGGCAACATTTCCGTTTCATTTTGAGCCATATCAACCAGGGTACCCTATTGTGGATTTCCAGTAAGGCATGGGTCCAGGAGAAAGATCACAGATTAAATCTTCACTAAGTTATTTTGTAGCCATTGATTTATTTGATGATTTTGAATAAATCATTTAATTTCACTGGGCCTCAGTTTCCCCACCTATAAAATGCCATTCTTATAATCATGAAGGTTCAATAAAATAATGTGAAAAAAAATACCTAGTATCTGGTAGGTTCTCAACAAATGTTAAATTCCTTTTCCTTTGTCTTTTTCCTACCCAATTCTTAGTTCTCGAGATCAAGTTTTATTCTTGCACAAAACCTGCCTGGCATCACTTGTCAGATAGAGACTTCCAGGGAACTGGTCATTAACCCCACTGTTGGATTAACTCTGCCCTGGGGAATCAGTGATGGCAAGGCTGAGACTGAGGCTCAATTTTTTTCCATTGCATCTCACACTGCTGTTGTTGTTGACAAACCTGAATATTACGGTCATTTTTTAAGATTTTAGGAAAATTTATTTCTCAGTGACCTTTTTAAATTTGCTTCCCATGACTACTTTGTATTATGCTTTATAATTTTTAAAAATACTTTCAAATACTTTATCTTATTTGGATTTGGGGACCCATCCAATAATATGATGAGATAGGGTTGGGGGCCATGTAATCCATCCCCAACGGGGAGAAGATGGATGAACAAGGAGGGAGTCACTGCTGCAAAGTCACATGCAGCCGGATGGTGCAGGACTGGGACCAAGAACAGTGTCTTGTGATGTTGGAGCTGGCGTCTTTCTGTTGCCTTGTTCTGCCTCCTTCGTAAAATCCGATTTTGAGGATAAGGATGAGTCCATCTCCTTTGAAGATGAAATAAGAATTCTGCAGATTCAGACATTCCTCCCAAATATAGTGAAACCCACATGGAAGTGGTAGTCAACGGTGTATAAGAAAGGTTAATCAATTAAGTGTGGGATGATATATATATGTGAAAAGTTAGATGTCCCTTTAGACATTCAGATCATCTGGAAGGAGAATTATAAATACAGACAGAAAAACCTCTTCCTGGCCTGTTTGGAGGGTCTGCATTTGTGGCATTAAAGGAGGGCATCAGACTGGTATCTACACTAACCCAGCCATTAACTCAACCTTTCACCCTGACGTTGAAGCAGCAGTGAAATGTCTGTTTGTCCCTTCCATAGCCCAAACCTTGTAACTTTACTGGTTTTTTTTCCTTTGGTAAGAACACTTAACATGAGATCTATCATTTCATCAGATTTTTAAGTGTATAATACAGTGCTGCCAGCTATGGGCAAAATATACATCAGATCTCTAGAACTTACTCATCTTGCATGACTGACATTTTTATACACCTTGCTTAGCAACTCCCCGTTTCCCCGCCTCCCAGCCTCTGGAAACTACCATTCTATTCTTTGCTTCTATGAATTTTGCTATTTTAGATACCTCATGTAAGCAGAATCATGCAGTATTCATCTTTCTGTGACTGGTTTATTTCACTTACATAATGTCCTCAAGGTTCATCTATGTTGTCGTATACTGTAAGATTTCCTTCTTTGTAAAGGTAGAATAATATTCCACGGTATATATGCACTACATTTTCTTTATTCATTCATCTTTCATGAACATTTAGGCTGTCTTCACCCCTTGGCTATTGTGAATAGTTCTGAAATGAACATGGGAGTGTAATGGACATCTCTTTGAGATACTGATTTCAATTCTTTTGGATAAATACCCAGAAGAGAGATTTCCAGATCATATGGTAGTTCTAACTTTAACTTTTTGGAAAACCACCATGCTGTGTTCCATAGTGGCTGCACCATTTTACATTCCCAGCAACAATGCACAAGGATTCCAATTTCTCTACATCCTCACCAACACTTGTTGTCTGTTTTCTGTTGCTTATAACAGAATACCTGAAATTGAGTAATTTATAAGAAATAGAATTTATTTCTTACAGTTCTGGCATCTGAGAAGTCCAAGGTTGAAGGGGCATATCTGATGAGAGCCTTCTTGCTGGCGGGGACTCTCTGCAGAGTCCCAAGGTGGCACAGGGCATCCCATGCCAAGGGAGCTAAGCGTGCTAGCTCAGGTCTCTCTTCCTCTTCTTATAAAGCCACCAGTCCCACTCCTGTGATAACCCATTAATCCATTAATCCACGAATGGATTAATCCATTCATGAGGGCAGAGTGCTCATGACCCAATCACCTCTTAGAGGCCACACCTCTCAGTACTGCCGCATTGGAGGAGATGAACATTCAAACCACAGCACTTGTCTTTTGTGGTTTTGACAATAGCCATCCTAACAGATGTAAGTAGTTTTACCATTTAATCCTAATCCCCAGGAGGCTTAATCCCCATTGGTTCCACCAAAGGTGGAAGGAGAAAAAGACAAGGGAAATTGAGGAGCAGCACTGAGCTGGGCAGCCGAGTCACCCTTCCACCTTGTTGACTGGCTCTTCCTCTGCCTCACCCTCTCCAGGACGCTGGCTTGTCTGCACCCACATCCTGGATTAGCGAGTCTCAGGTTTCCCAGAAGACTGAGATTCTTACTACTAGAATCAAAGAAATCCAGAGGAGGTTTCCAACCTGGACCCCTGACCAGCACCTGAGAGGTACGTGTAACATGTCGGTCAGGTGTTTCACAGCAAGGAATTAATAGGGACGCGTGTAATATGTTGCACCAGATTCCCCCAAACCAGAGTTGCCTCCTGATAGGCACTCAGGAAAGAGAATTGAAGTTAATTGCTGAGTACCCTGAAGCAGTGAAGGGCTGCTAGGCCAGCACTGTTAAGGAACCCACAAGGGGAGTTCACGTTGCTCACTGCACAGAAAGCCAGTTACTGAGATGACGAGGATTGTCAAGGAAGAAAGGATTTATTACAGTTGGACATGTCAACTAGGAGGTGGGAGGTATGGACTGCCTCAAATCTGCCTCCCCGACCAACTGGGTCAGGAGGTTTTTCTGGAGGCAAAATGAATACTGCACCGGGGAGCAAGCATCATTGCGTGTTTGGGGTGGAGTGCAGGGCACAAGCGCAGTGGGAAATCATGCTGCTACATACATTCCATGATCAAGAAATGGCAGATAAGTCTATCCCAGGGCAGGGATTTTAGTATTATAATGAGCTAGGGGTTCATACTGGTATTCTTTCAGCCCTGCACACAGGCTCAGTGGGTCCTTGGGCACAATCCGTGGTGGGGTATGGCTTATCTTGTCTTCTTTGGACAAACAGGTGGTGTAATTATCTCCTGGCTGCAAGGAGGTTCCACCGTTTCTGGAAAAGCATCTCAAAGGAATGCGTTAGTACAACACAGTTACAGAGTTTTGGTCATCGAATCTTACTGAGAGCTCTCTATTTTCTGCTACTGTGAAACTGTAGTTGCTAAGCTACTGGCGTCTAGATAAAACTCACTGTCAAGACCACTTAGAGCAGCCAGCCCTAGCCACAAGATGAACACTGAAAGCTCATTTGAAACATGAGGGAACTAAAAACATTATTTTAAAAAAACCACTTTCTTATTTATGGAGCCGGTTACAGCATTAATCTATCACGTGCATTTCAGGTGGGCTCTGTGCCTACAGCGGGGGTGCTGGCTATGTCAGAAGCAGCGAAGACCTGAGCTGTGACTTCTGCAATGATGTCCTTGCCCGAGCCAAATACCTCAAGAGACACGGCTTCTGAGGCTTCTAACGAAACTGGAGATCATTATCACATTGTTGATCATTGCCTCTATTGTTACATAGATAAAACGAGCCAATGGGGCCTCTAACTGTAAGTCTGAGTTTGACCTGAAGGTCATGAGAGTAGCATGAATCACATTAAAGGAAGAATTATTACCTGCATTTTGTGATCTGTGGTGTGTGTGTGTGTGTGTGTGTGTGTCAGAATTAAGGGCTGTGTCTCTTTAACGGTATTTCTACGGACATTACCTATAATGTGGGTTTCTGTGAAGTGAATCCTAGACCTCATTGGCTAGTGCTGCCAGATTTGGCAAATAAAAATACAGGAAGCCCAGTTTAAATTTGAATTCCACATAAACATCGAGTAATTTTTTAATATAAGTCCCATGCAATATTTGGAACACATTTATACTAAAAAATTATTCATTGCTTATCTGAAATTCAAATTTAATTGGGCTTCTTGTATTTTATCTGGCAACCCCAACATTGACTTTTTTGATAAAAATCAGAGTTTCAATTTTTTTTTTTTTTTGAGACAAAGTCTTGCTCTGTCACCCCAGCTAGAATGCAGTGGCATCATCCTAGCTCACTGCAACGTCCAACTCCTGGGCTCAATGAGATCCTCCTGCCTCAGCCTCCCAAGTAGCTGGGACTACAGGCATGCGCCACCACACCCAGCTAATAATGTTTTCTATTTTTAGTAGAGACAGGGTCTCGCTGTTGCTCAGACTGATCTCAAACTTCTAACCTCAAGTGATCTTCCTGCCTCTGCCTTCCAAAGTGCTGGGATTACAGGCGTGAGCCACCGTGCCCAGCCCAGAGTTTCAAATTTTAATTGAAAACTTTTGATGAGAAAAAGGGTAAGATGGTGACCAGCCTCATCTGCTGTGTGAAATACTTTCAGGAAAGTCACTTGCTAACTTTGCAGCATCATCTTAAACCTAGGTTTGTCTCTGTCATCTAAACTACCTCCTCCTTTCCTTTCCTGAACCACAGAATCCTCTCCTGCGCCCAAGCTCCCTAGCTTCATACCCAAAGTAGTTAGAACTCATCTAAACGATTCCCTTGTTTAGGGGTACATAAGTCACCAAGAGAGCCAGGCCACAGGTGGTAATTCATCAGTTGGAGCTGCCCTCATGTACACTGACTGTGTATTATACTGGTAAAGTATTGAATTTGAGAGTTCGTATTCTGTAAAAGTAGTTAATGTCCCATTCTACCAATTGTACAATATCAGCACTTTACAGAATGTCATTCTAGAACAAATGTCATCATTTCAAGCAGGTTTAGTCCGTCTCTAAACAATTTTTTGCAGCAACTCCTATGTGCTCAGCACTACGCCAGAGTCTCTGCCTCCCAAAATTGTCAAATTATAAAATGTAATTGGGATTAGGAACCCACACAGAAGAGAAGAGGGCCAACCACACACCTGTGCACAAGGTACAGACACAGGGCCTGCACCAGGGTGACAGTGCCAGATGCTCAATACTGTGTCAGTGGCCCCTACAACCTCCTGGTGATCTTTGGTGCCCTTCACCTTCCCCAGGGCCACTTCCTTCTTGGTCCCCCAATCCTCTGCCTTCCAAGTCCTACTCAAGGCAGAATCCAGTTAACAGATTCCCACCGAGCAGAGCATGACTGGGAAGACCTCATGAATACATCCCCTTTGGAGGGTTACATTTCACTAGTACAAGGAAAATAGGATGCAAGGGACTGGTTATGAGCCCATGAGGGAAACATTTGGGTGAATAAAGGCCTCCTGAAATCATGCCACTAGGGCGGCAGTGTAGAGCTCCCACCATGGACACATGTGCTCAGTAAGTGGGGGTAACTTGTGTAGAGACTGGTGATGTTTCTTCCCGAGAAAACATCCAGCCAAAAAAAAGCATACCAAGAGCACCAAGACGTTGCAATGGGAGCTCTGGAGAAGTCGCAACGGAGTTAGAGATTGGTAAAAAAAAATAAAAATAAGGGTATAACACATCTTATTTAATACCTTCTACCTGCCAGCCACTGTATTAGGAACTGTAAAATGAGGATGAAAAGACATAGATAGTCCTTGTTTACAAAGACCCCGTTTCTAATTGAGACACAGATAAGTAGTTTAGGACACAATAAGCTAATTTCTCTAAAAAAGAGATAAATAAAAATGGGGGGGTATGTGGGAGGGGATTTTGAAGGGTTGAGTCCTGAATTCACACCAGCGGCAAGGCCATTTATGAGGTGCTGGATTCTCACATCAGCCCTCACGGGATGCACCATTTTTATTCCCTTGAACAGACAAGAGAAGTGCCAACCAGAGTTGTTGATAGTACAGTCAGCCCTCCATAGCCGCGCATTCAACCAACTGGGTAGCAAAAATATTTAAAAAAATTGTGTCTTGGGAGGCTGAGGCAGGAGGATCACTTGAGTCCAGGAGTTTGAGGCTGCTATGATGATGACAATGCACTCCAGTCTGGGCCACAGAGCCCCCCAAAAATTGCATTTGTACTGAACTTGTGCAGACTTTTGGGTCATTATTCCCCAAGCAATACAGTATAACAGGGCATGAGAGCTACTGCACACGGGTTTTGAGAAAGATCTCTTCAGGCAAAGATTAGGATAGAAAGAAGTTTATTACTTTTCCTTAGACAGAAAAGGGCCAACACAGAAGTGAAGGAGGTAGAGGATGCTGGCAGAGAGAACCAGATATTCAGGCTTTTTATTTAGGGGTGAAGGTTTATGGCTGTAGCCAAATTAACAGGGTACTGCTGCATCTGCTTCGGTCTTTCTTCTCCGCGGCAGGATGATGACAGAAACTGCGGCAGGATGTCAAGGTCCAAGAGTTGACTCCTCCGCTGTTTCTATCGTGAGAGATGTAACTCTGCCCTTCAGATATGGCTGAGGCCTGGAGTTCCTGCTGTTCACTCAGGAACTCTGTAAAAGCAGATTCAAAGCAATTTTGAAAGAGAAAGATTTACATCTCTTTTCTGTCCAACTCTTTTCAGAAATTGTGTAAAACAGAACTCCTGTGGGGTGCCTGTTAGCAAGTGAACTCATAGGATTGATGTTTAAGTGTTACTAGGAAATTGCAACATTAGATATTTTCCTGCTAATTTTTGCACGGCTGCCCCTTTCAATACTATAGCATTTACATTTTATTAGGTTTTATGAGTCATCTACACATGATTCAAAGTATACAGGAGGGTGTGCGTAGCTTATGTATTATGCCATTTTATGTCAGGTACTGGAGCATCTGTGGATTTTGGTATCCATGAGGGTCCCGGAACCAATCCCTCATGGATACCAAGGGATGACTGCAATTCATCAACAGAAACTTGCCTTAGTCACAAAGCTGGTAAGGGACAGGACCATAATCCAAAACCAGATTTCTTCAATGTTAAAGCCTATCTTTTTAAGTTTTTATTTTTCCCTAAGTGGAACATGTATATAATTAGATGATTGACACATGCAAGCACACATGTGCGTATATGGTGGGGTGTTCAGGTGACCAACTGTCCTGGTTTGCCTAGAACTAGTGGGTTTTCTGGGACATGAGACTTTTAGTGCTAAAATTGGTAAAATTAAACCAGAAAAGTGCCAGGCAAATTGGAATGAATTGGACACTCTAGCTTGGCATTCCCTTTCCAGGAGGTATTTGAAAATATGTGAGGGCAGTTTTCTTCCCTTCCTCCCTCCCTCCCTCCTCTTCGCTCTCTTTTGTTACTGCCACAATGCCCCTTAGGGGCTCAGGGGTAGACTTTACTACTAAGCATTTTGCAATTTGTGCAGGGCAGGATAGTCCTACCCAAGGAGGAGCATACATAATTTTTTTTTTTTTTTTTTACTTCCTGAGTTATCTTTTTATCAGCTTTATAACCTAGAATTTTTTTTTTCCAGAAATCTGGGAGCCACCCCTTTGAAATGTAAACATGTAGGAAGACAGTGCCTCTGTGTTCCTTTCACTATGGAAGTTTAGCCTCTGGACACCTTTTTTGTTTTTATCTTCTTAGTCATTTGCTTGTCACAGATACAAGAAAATTTTTATTATCCCTTCTGATAAAGGTGAGTTTAGGATAAACCACGCAAGAATGTACAGCAAATGGTGCTAAGTAGTCTTATAGGAGGACAGGTTACTGTTAATTGAGAACATATTATGTAATGGCAGTCTAAAATGATTGTTGGTGGTATAAACAAGGTGGAATTTCTTTCTGTATTTATAATTTCTTTGGAGATGATCAACCTTGTCCATGGTACTCTGGTTGATGTTTATTCAATAATAAAACTTTCCTTCTTTTTGATGTTTTATGGAGATATTTAAATTCCCCAACAATACAAAGAGGAAAGAATATTTGGGTAAAGATCACTAAACTCTGGGCTGACAGTCAGCTGAGTGTGTAGTGCTGGTATCCAAGAGTAAGCCTTCATTACATCAAAGTTGGTTTTTGTTTGTTTGTTTGTTTTTAAGTGCAAGCTTTTCATCTGGACACCGGAGATTTCTTCTTAGAAACTGTGAATTACATCACACAAAATGGTTCTGTCCCAGATCAGATACTATGCAAACACTTTTCACAGCCGAGTTGTGTAGTTGCCTGAGATTACTTTACTTTTTTGAATAACTTTTTGTTACCTATGGAGTTAGTAGTAATCATCCTTTGCTTGCTGCCTTGGTTTTCTCTGTACTTATCACTACTTCAACTCTAAATCTCAATTGGTAGTTAATGTCAAGCAGTCCATCAATTGTTCTTCATGAAGAGTTATTTCCTGGAAACTTCTGATCTGCTCCTATCTCAGGTCAGTCAGAAAGCTCTGCAAGCATCCTGGGATCCCCTTCCCCATCATTCCTTTGCAGCTCTCCTATGTTACATCTTCTATTTATCACATCCTTTCTTAGCTTGCTCCTTTGTTTTTATGGAGCACATCCTCCAGCAGCTTTCTGAGAAAAGTGAATGGGAGATAAGTTTTTTGAAACCTTTCATGTCCAAAATATCTTTTTTCTTTTTTTAAAACTTTTTTGTATGATTAAGATTTTTTCTTTCTTCTTTTTCTTTTTTTTGAAAGTGAGGGTAGGGGAGGAGGAGAAAAACCTGATTAAGATTTTTTAATTGAGACACAATAATTGTACATATTTATGGGGTACATATGATATTTTGGTACAGACATACTATGTGTAATGATCTTTT